CCCTTTGAAACTGAACTTTCAATGTCATTTGGCACTTCAGAAAAAATATCTAAAATACAAAACAGGCCTGAAAACCTATACTTAATTTGTGAGTAACCTCCTGACCTTTCGTAGAAGGATCTCACCAACTTGATCTTCGAGAGCATGATATAAACCATAGATGTTCTTAATTAACATTTTTAAAGGCATGCTTATATAAAAGTCCTATTTAAATTCCAGCACATTCTTCATTTTCAAAGTCCCATGATGATTTGCCTTAACCTAAGTTCTGCCAAAAATGACTCCATACATTACATTTATTCAAAGTTTCAGGCTTTAAAAAAGGATTAAATGTGATTTTAAGAGATGGTTAAAGAGAGGTATATGATGACGAGTTAAAAATAAGAAAGTCAGGACTAATCTTCCATTTTAGTGTCTAGAGTTCATTTCCTATTGTTCATTGGATTAAATGATCTTTAAGGTCCCTTCCGGCTTAGGCCATTCTATGGTTCTATGATTCACATGTTCTGACTCTGTCTTTCCAAAAAATGCTCACCTTTGATCCCCAAAGAAATACAGGATAAAGCTCTAATAATTTTTCACCAGGTGCTGACTGAAACCAGAATTCGTAACAGCTGAGGAAAGACAAATTATATACTCGATCAAGTGAAGAGAATTAGGAAGAAGTAAATCAACTGTTTTATTTCTCTTTGCTTTCCATTGGGAGCCAACTAAGCAGATGTGATAGTACTTGGGATTGCAGTGGTCACTTTGGTCAACAAGGGTTATGTCTTCCACTGACATGCCATGATTAGCAATCAGATGTGCTTCAGCACTGAGAAAAATTTATAATTACTTGAGCTCATACACGTTCTTTAAGTATTTTGATAGACTAAGGCCAAAGTGTTTGCAGAGGCAAACTTTAAAGTATACTAGGAAAAAAAGCCTAGTGCTATTCTGAGAAACCTGCATCAGTAAAGATTAATGAAGAGTCTCACAAACGTGCTTTATCTGTTGCAGTGACTGTCACAATTGCCTAGAAATTCAATAATCGTTCTCAAGAAGGATGATCTTCTTGCAGAGGTGAAAAACACATGTATTTTGTTAATCTACATTTAGCCTAAATATATTTAATCCTTTTCCATCTTCCTTATTCCTTACTGAAATTTTTGTTCTCCTCTTACTCGCTTCCCACATCTCCAGGTAACACTCTAAACTGCGTATCAGGTAGCGAGCTGACCTTACGCAGCTATCACACAGTTTCTCCCTCTTTGTGTTCTCATGTCTACCCTCTATTTTCTCTTACCACGCACAAACAATGACATTATATTAAACCATACTACTTAAAATTATTATTGAGCCAAAAAACACACTTCACCAAAAAATCAATGCTGCATCAAATTCATGTCTTTCTCTTGCTTAAAAACCAGCAACAACTGCAGTTCTTATTCTCTTGACTATACTATTAATTATACATCTAAAGCATATTCGTAGTTTGCGTTTACTCCAGGGTGATTCTAAAATTTATATGAATGAGAAAACAGCAATGTGATCATATACAAGTAAAATAATATTTTCAGTCTTGGCACCTGAACATAATGAAAGGAAAACCCAGTCAGCTCTTACACGGTTTTCTATTTTAAAAAGTTAACTCGGGGGAAAG